TTGTAATAATGCCATTGTAATGATGGGCCATGAATAGAAGTTGTCTGTGGAGGGATGTGAGGATAAGTGAGTGGCAGCTGAGGGATAGTAAGAAACCAGAGTGAGTCAATGAATGGGAGATATCTGAGAGAATAATATGTTCCTCAAGTAAGTACTACAGAAAAAACACCTGGAGGGGCTGGACAGTGTAGACGGGGCTGTTTGAAACAGGGATTTCAGGTGTGCTGTCATTTCCAACCGAGTTGCATACAATAGCAACAGGATGGGTACAAGGGCCAATGAAATGCACTATAACAGAAACAACTTACTGAAGATACCAGGACATTTTTCTTTTCCTTTCATTTTAGTAGGTCTTGAAAAGGCTCAAAATTCTGTTTCTAATGGAGTTTATATATTCTGTCTCTGAAGACTTATTTTATTTTTATAAGTAAAAAAACTATCCAAAACTTTTCTTAACTACTTTACCTTCATTTTTTTTTAAAGGAAACAAAGATTGGTAAACTTTCATGATCATGCAAGCAGTACAGAATCCTGTGACATCCTAGTGATGGGCCTTAAAAAATAATTTAGTATTTTTTACTTCTGAAATTGATGAGCTATATTCACATCTGTGAATGAAAAAAATCTAATAAGTCTAAAACATAATTATATTAACATATGAATTTTTAAAAATCGACTTTTACTGTGACACAGGATCTGGATAAGAGTCACTATTAACTGTGAAAAGCTATAGGCATGAAAACATTGTAATGTAAAAATAATGTTGTAAAACAAAATATCTTTTGAAATCCTTTTGTGGTAAGTCAGCTGAAATCTGAGAGAATACATAGACCTTGCCTACAAATTCTGTTTGTTTCACCCCACTAACATGACATCAATTAGAGCTGAAACGACTCCAGTTAAGACACTGACTGTCATAAAGGCGATACGGAGAAAAGAAACATAGAAACAAAATCCACATGGAAATTTCTTCAGAAAATAGCAAAATGACAGTTGTGTCAGACAGAATGCCCTATTGTATAAGCTAAAGGAAAAAAGTTACTCTTCTTTTAATATGAAAATCACTTACACAATGGGGCTGGGTGGTTTGAAATGTATTTCCTTGCAGGACCTCACTGTGAGCTCTGTGGTTGATTTGGCGGGAAGAATGAAACTAAAGCCAAGAAGATTCAGCTACGTTGAACTATTATTGATAAGCCATTGAAATGCAGGATAATTGCAGAGCTTCTTTTTCCTCGATATTAATTTTTAGGAAAACAAATTAATTTAAAATAATTAACATATGTGCTGCCCAGGCAAATACAATTATGTCACATGATAGTGGACTTAACTATCAGAGGAAAAAAAAAAGAAAAGAAGAGTGGTGGAAACAGAGCAATGTTGGAGCCTGCCTGATTTGAGATCATAGACCCCGATTCCCAAACCCTGTTCAACAGCCACATTTCAGGTATGTGTTCTGAACCATCTGATGGGTAAAGTAAAAGACAAAACAAAACAAAGCATTTTCCCAATGAAATGGTGTTATTTGCAATAAAGTAGGAATCCGTGTAGATGTAGTCATTCTTCTTATAAAGGTGGACCTTTACAGCAATTTTCTTAATGTTGCTCGATGTGATCTTCCTTTATGGGACTAAAGAATGTACCAGCCATCTGCGAGCAGTGTGTTATTACTGTCATTATGAATCCATTAGACATATTCAGGTGAGCTGAGTAATAGCCTTGTGATCAAATTCTCCTTCTTTTGCTTTTAGTGTAGCATTTAATAGAACACAAATTGCTTCTTATTTATTTTTGCCTATAGTAAAACTTCTAAGGAAATAAAAATGTCCTCTCCTTTGCCCTTGGATATCAATAGAAATGTTAGATGTAATGAGTTTTCAGTATTAAGTTGCTGCATTTGTATTATTTATTATAATAACCAGTAAAGCACAGCGATATCTGATAAAATGAGTAGTAGAGGTTATTAAAGCTGGAATATTCTATCCTAAGTGTAAAGTTTGGGGAGAGGTGCTTAATTAGGATATGCGGTTTTCATTGTTTTGGGAAGCTTTATTTTCCTTCCATGAAAAGGTGTAAAGCACATGCACACATGCATAGAAATGCAAATCTATGCATGCGCTACTTTGAAAAGAGACAGGTACCATGGTTATGGAAACGTTTGTTGAGTTTAAAAGTTATCCTTGGAATGCTCTATCATAGGGCCATCCTAGCTGACTTCTACCTGACTTTCCTTGCACAACAGCTCTTGCTACTAAAGCTTATTTTGCCACCCTTCACAGGCAAAATGTACAGGGGAATAAGCACCCTTCTCTCCCAGTAGCCCTCAACCAGTGAGTGATTGGAAACAGGAGTCTTTTCATCAGCTCCCTTAACCCTTGAGTAGGGCGACTCTGAGGTGTCTGCCCCATCCTGGCTGTCAGAGTCTCTCTGATGGAAAGGAAGTCCAGTCACTCACGATGGCAGCTGGCTTTAGGGGTCCCCCTGTCTCTTTTCCAGACTCTCCTACTGTGAGTCCTTCACCTCCAAGATCAACTTGCACTCAAATCCTGTCTCAGTTTCAGTTTCTGCTTCTGGAGGAATCCAGACTAAGACATATGCCAGCCATATGCCTTTCAACTTAATAACCCCGGGAATATTTGCAAATCCAATTCAGTCCTTTGGTACAAATCAAGATAATTTTGCTTACACAAACCTTTTTTTATTGTGTTTTTATATGTTGTTCAAGTTTTTATAATGATCTACAAACATAAGAGATGAAATAAAAATGTAGGTATGTAATATAGGCATATGTTTGCCTTAAAATTTTACCAGGCTATTTAAAATACTAAATTCACCATTGATTTTGCTGATTCAACTGTGTTTTCATCATTACTGTGTGATCCTTCCAATGTTTTTAAACAAGCCATGAAAATAGGAGGAAGTGTTTCTGCTTGTTACTTATTCATGTTCTGCCAATAAATAGTAATGCATCAATCTGTTAACCCTTCAGCATCTGTCCACAAGGTATACAGCCATAGTCAAAATATTTTCCTTAGTTTTCTTAAACTTTTAAAAAACAGACTTACTTCTTGGAGTCTGTTAGTCACCACTGATTAACCATCTAGGAAAATCACCCCTTTCATGGTTCAGTCACAGCTCTTTGGGAGTGGGGCTAGGATGGGGCAGGAGGAGCGAAGGGGGGCAGGGTGGGGGAATGGGTACAACTGTAACTGAACAACAATAAAAAGAAAAAAAATAGAAATAGGAAAGGCAGTAAAAAAAATTCAACAGAAACCTAAGACTCAAAGCTACCATTCCTACTCATGTTTCCATGGGAATAGACCTCCGATCAAGAAAAAAGGAATGGATGAGGTTAGCAGCTCTCAAATAATCATTCAAACACATGATGAGGTTTTTAGAGCTTCTTTCTTAGGTGATTATTTTGTAGCCTCTTAACCCCTTTCTGCCAGTCTGTTTCCATGGAAATATGACACAAATGGCTGTCCAAGCTTCCAGCAGAGATCATTAGCATTCTTGTGAGTTTCAGCTTCGGCCTGTGGTCTATGCTGGGCAAGGTCTTTTTTTCTATTTGTTTTACACATTAACCTACACTGTTTACACATGTGGTCATTTTCTTTCTTGATTTTACTCTCTGTGAAAATCCTCTTCACAAATGTGTAGCAATATTGGATTGATTCTGATATCACTGAAAAAGGCTTCAGTTTTAGATTTTAGTATATGAGCCAGGACATGTAGCTGCAGAGTATCAGAACTTTTACAGACCCACAGGAGAGAGCATTATTTAGCAGATTACCAGTGTCTGCTAGACAGGTGTTGGCAGATATGCAACAGGGGTGGTATGTAACATATTGAGTAACTGGAAGGCAAGGTGCCAGCTGATCAGAGCAACAGGTTCATATTAGCTCATTATCAGCCCTATTATGACTAATAATATATTAAACTAAAAGCATCCCTATATAAGATGGTTAGTATTATACCTAGACAAAATTTCCTAGAGTCACAAAAGGAGCTCCTTTAAACTTACATAAGAGCTTATAAGAGAAACTGGGTAGAAATAGACAGCAATCCATCTTAAAAAAGAAAGAAATCACAATGCATTTGTTTGCATCATTTTTCATATGAAGGTTATTTGAAAATCAAAACCACTCTTATTACCGGAGACATTATTCTAAAAGATAAAGAAAGATGGGTCTTTGATAAGAACCCCTGGCAAGAGAGCTGGTGTTGAATGTGGGAAATACAGCAGTAGGCTGTGTGTGCAGGCTTTCGTGTCTCCTGCCTTCTGAAATTTGCTGAACATCTCAGCCCACAACTTTTTCTAGGGAAATATTAAAGCTCAGATTGATCTCATAGAGTACTTTTATTCTTCAGAGCTCTCTTATTATTTTATTTTATAGTCAGAGTATTTTTCCCTGTAAGATCTTGTCTTCTGAATTTAAATGGAAAAAGGTATATTTCAATGGATAATTATCTGACTTAGCTAGGCTCCTAATTTAATAGAGACTAACTCACTACATTACTTATTATTTATCCATATTTTCAACTAAACATATCATAGCAACAATAAAATCCAGCAGCCTGAACCATTTTTCAAACCATCATCGCTATGTCCAAAAGCAGTTCACCAAATTAGTAAACACATGGCCCTTTAAGGGCAGGGTTTGGCCGGAGGATCTGTCCTTCAGGCTGTTTGTGTGAATAAAGTTTTACAGGAACACAGTCATGTTCATTCTGGGTTTTGTTTGGTTTTAATTGTGTATGGCTGCATGCCCACTAAAAGGACAGAGTTGTGTAATTGCCACAGAGACCACATTGCACAAAAAGCATATTGGTCTTGTAAGCAAAAGTTGACTGGCCTCAGCTCAAGCCTTTATTTTTGGTAAGATTATACATTTTTCAGAAAAGAAACTTGGTAAGTAGTAAAGTCTTTTTTTGTTTCAAATTCTAAAAGCAGTCTATTAATAACAGATACAAATGTGATTGCCTGTGTCTGTACTTACATCCATGAACTCCACATTAGCTTTGGGACCAGTTGTTTCATTAAGAATCTTAATAGCCACAGGAATCTTCACTGTTTCTCCTTCAGGCACCCAAATACCCTTTGGGGAAAAATCACATTCAATCTTTATTAAGACATACAATATTCACACCATAAATAAAATTTGGTTAATCTAATTTTAATCAAGCTATTAGTTACTTAAAAATAATTTAGTTCTATATTATTTCATTTAATGAATAGATATTTACCAAGCACCTATTATACGTTACAAGTTACTCAGCAACTTTGTTGTCATCTTTCATTATGTGAAGATGAATCATACATGTATTCTGCTTCCAAGGTGTTTACACTATTATAAAATCAATTTGTGTGCATTAAAAGACTTTGAATAGTGGAAGGTTTGAGCAAAATGGAAATAGGATTCACAGACATGGACAGAAGTGTGGTGATTGTGGGGGTAGGGGGTATAAGGGGGCTATGTGGTAATGGATAAAATACAATAAAATAAAAAAGAAAATCATTGAAATAAGATATCATAAAAATATTTTATTCAAATGATGTCCTCAACTTCTCAAGACTTTGAGAAGGCTCTTCAAATTTTCGAATTTCAGTTGCCTCATTTGTACTTTAGAAGATTAGACTAAGTCAATTGGAGGTTCTTTGCAGCTTTAATATCATCTAATTAATTGTGAAAATTAAAAAGAAAAAATTATAAAAGTATTTTCTCATGTTCCTGAAGTTCAGATTGATTTAAGAATTAATTTTCTAAGGTGATTATTTGAGAATTAGTTTTCAAAGGCAAGTACTAGGGTGTATTGAGCACACTTTAATTTGTCTATATTATTAAGTAGTGTGAGTGTCAAAGACTTATATCTCTGAAGTAATATAAAATATTTATTTTAGCCATTGCCAGTTCTCTCTTCCATGGAAATATAATTATAATATCTGTACAGGATCTGTACATTGGGGAAGTGTATAGTAGACAGAGTTTAATTAAAGTACAACATTAAATAACAGCATTTCTGCAAAAACAATTAAATCATTTGAATGAGAACCATGATTCTGGTAAGGCTTAGAGGGACGCATGGATTACATAAGAGTATTTTTTTTAAGTGTTTTGTCCAACTGAACATAGTACCAAATATAAAGTTGCATAAGAATATAAAAATTTTTAATTTGTTAGATCTGAAATAAAAATAATTTTCTTGGCAGTTTTAACATTAAAATGAAAAAAAGAAAAAACAATTTATTATTCCATCTCTACTTCCTGTCTTTCTTAATGTTAACTAGTTGTAGTCATAAAGAAAAGATTAAAACTTTTCTTCACTGTGTATTTCTATTCAGTAACATATGTATTTGTGATATCCAAAGTTGTAATAATGTAAGAGGAGGCCTAAACAAGAATTACTAAAAAGTCAAAATAATAAAGAAAAATGAAATTTAACCTTTAGAAGGTGAATATAAGGGCTATACTCTTTTTATAATCAATTAAAAAATCTATATGTCAAGTATAAACTTTAAATAACAAGTTCCCTTTTGTATAATAATTTTCAAAAATTATTAATGCTTAAGTGAGGAAAAAACACTGAAGCCCAAGACCCATAAGCTACATTTTCTCACTGATGGTTCCTGGTGTGGAGAACAGGCTTACCATTATTTAATAAAGTAACTGTAGAGGGAATCAACTTATAAAAATATTGCATCAATATTAAAATATCTCTAAAGCATACTTTTTATACAAAAATATAAATTCACTATCATCTACTTATACTGCTTTTAAAATAAGTATAGCCATTAATTTCTAGGCCTGACCAGACAAAAATCAACTACACTGATACCCATAATATTGACTCATCTTTTATATTTAAACACAGGATATCTCCAACCAGGAGAAATAATTAACCAAATAATTGCCTTAGTCAGTTTGCATTTGTGTAGTCAAGAATAATTCTTTATATTTTAGACAGTATGTCCTTGTGAGAACTAACATGTTCATTAACAAATAGGGTCAACCATACGTACTGCAGTTATATAATTCAAACATACTTATGGGACATTCTATAACCTTTCAATGCAAGTAGTTTCAATAAAGGCACAGCATCATGAAAAGCAAACAAATAATTGTTCTTAATGATAACATTAATAAAGCTTTTTAAGAAATGTTTAAATAAATAATATTTTTCCCTACTAAGGTCAGAAGTCATATTTAGTCTTCAGTTCAATGGTATCTATCATTTAAAGTAATATTAAATTTCCAAACCCTATTAAGTTAAAAAAATATAAGGATGATAATATACTTGGAACAATTGAAGACTGAGTTGTCTTTAAAATGGAAGTCCATTTTTTCATCATAATAAAAATAGAGAAACAGAATAGACAAGTTGTGATTCTTTGAACATACAAATAATTAAAATCTGGAAGGCATCAAGTCAGCTTTGAGTAGTTTCTATTCAATTAGGTGCTCAGTTAATAATTTTGAATTTAATTGAACAAAACATGCACACTAAGATATTAAGAAACTTCAGCACTTTAACCTTAGAATAAAACAATTTTATATTTTAAAAATTTGATTGTTTTAAACACAAAGTGGACAAAATTAATGTTTATATTTTAATTGTTAGCATTTTCTGTTTAAAAATCTTTGTCTTAGAAAAAAATTGCACATACATTTTAAAATGCAAAGTTCCTAAGATCCAATCTATTTTAATAGATATGCTTGTAAAAAATATAGGCTTGCATGTAGCTTTAAGAGAGATATAAAACTGGCAAAGTAATTTTGGGAATTGGAAGAATGAACACTACAAGAAATAATTTAGCACTAACCAAGCAGAGTTTCTTATTCTTGTTATTTGCCATTAAGAGTAAATTTCACCACCATTAATCTTTGGCCTGGCCTCTGAATAGGTTTTGGAACTAAGCTAAATAAGTAAACATGCAAATACCATCCTTTGAGCTTTCCCTTCCCAGGAAGGCTTCTCCTATTCAAAAGCCATGAGGTCACCCTCTCCTTCTGTCTGACCCAAGTTTCACAAATAGTCATTATTTTTTTAGTCTGCGTATAATGATGAGGGCATTAAACTGAAGAATGTTTATTAAATCATACATGACACCAGGTAGATAAAAGTTTGTTTAGGAACTAGTCCTGCCCTGTTGAGGAATCTGCATACGAGTGTGGATTCTGAGGAGATTAGCTAAATGGGACGAGGTTTGAATCAAAGAGCTTGTCTGGGATTTCATAGGTCGCTGTGCAGGGGGAAAGGAAACGGGTTAGAGCTGGACATCTTGGATGAGGATGACATTTTCCAAAGGGGAGATGATACAAAAGGGGCTCAGGAGGGTGTTGAGAGAAAGAACTACACTTTGGGTTTGTACCAGTGTTTCCTGCTTTGTCATGTCCATATCCATTCCTACCTTACGTAATAAAAAATTAAGGAAAAAAAATGATGAACTAATTTGTGCTTCAACATCTCAATACTAGAAAGGTTCTTCTCTATGGATACTAAAAGGAAATTGGGTTGTTTAGAGCACTAACTCCGGTTACTATTTAAACAAGTCTGGGACGAAACTTAAAATAACCGATGGTGTATATTATTTTTTACTTACTTTATACACAGTTCCAAAAGCGCCCGAGCCAAGTACTTTTACTCGTTTGAGCTCAGTTTCCTTCAAAATACGAAGCTGAGCCTGATTGGGTGCTGTACCGCTGGGAGTTAAGGGCTCTACCAACTAAAAAAGACAAAAAAATAATACAAGTTATAACTTTCAATGCAACAATCAGCACTTCTCTCTTTTCTCTCTCTTTCTCTATCCGTGGCTGGTTCCCTTTCTCACACATACAAAAACACACAAGCACACTTCTTCTTGAAAAAATATTTTTGTATTATGGATTAGATACCATTACCTCAGACCCTATCTTTTCTCTTCTCATGCTCTTTGCCTGGTGAGCTCAAGTAACAAATGTATGGCAACCTGGAGGCATAATAGGCTAGGGGATCTTCATTCTACTTCTCAAGCTCCTTCCTTCTCAGTATCTTCAGGTAAGACTTGGAGATTTTAGTTGTGTCAGCATACTCTAGTAAAGTTATCTTTTTCCTTTAAAAAGATTTAGTTCATAAAACAATGAAATGCTGCCTTCTTGGCACTTAAAATCCAGGGTAAACACATCAGAACATTCTTACAAAAAAAATAATAAGTAGCACAATGCCAATATTCCTGGATAGTGCTTCTAAAACTTTCATGCACATATGAATTACTTGGAGTTCTGCTAGAATGCAGATTTTGGCTCAGTAGGTCTGTGGTTTGGGCTGAAATTTGCATTTTATAGAACGCCAAGTGATGCTCAAATACAGTGATGGTCCTTAAACACATTTTATGTAGCAAATTCTAGATACCTTCTAGATCAAAAATTCTAAAATTCTATGAATTGGTTCTAGATCATGAGTGAATGCTAGGAGATGTGAAAGAATACAACAGCACGAGGGAGTGAGGTTCTTTAGGTTCGGCTTCTTAAAGGAGGAACTCTTCCAAACTGTTCTTGAGATGATAAAGACAGGCTGTCATTAAAGAGGACACTGGGGCCATGGAGAGCCAGTTTGGACACAGCGTCAAAGAGAAGGAGGAACACGTACATAAAGAGAGTGACTAGTCTGAAGGTGGGGAACACCAGGTCATAAAATGGGCTAGGTGTGGCCAAAGGGGGTACATTTAGGCTAATGATGTTAGACACCACAGTTTAGATGCTGTTGGGTTAGAGAGGACAAATAAGCAAGGAACACATGTGAATACATGCCAATTTCTTGTCTACGTGAGAAAATAATATGTAGGCAATGAAGAGACTCTGGATCCCAAAAAGTCTGTATCCTATGTTCAGATTTTAGGTTTTTATCTATGCTTGAGGAAAAGGAATCTACAATAGGAGTTTCTTTTTTTTTAAGTAAAATAAAGGAGTTTAATTTTAAACACAGACAAATAGCTTGTTTTTTTTCTCAGCATAAGGGGATAATTAAGGGCTACTCCCACTCAAATTATCTTGAAAAGCACCACAATATTTCAAGACGTCTGTTTACGGGGCTAAATGCACCATGGCCCTCCAGCTTGGTTATTATTATCACGCTCCTGTGAACATCGTGGTCTGCACATTGTTTTCCAGGCATTTGAGTATTATACTGTTAAAAGAAGTATAGTTTCATTTTGTGTGCTAGTATGGTGGAAAGAGATCTGGGTTTACTGTAGCAGGCTTATATACCGGGGCTGCCATTCACGAGCTTAGAAAGCAATTTATCCCTCTCATTTCACTTCTGTGAAATAGGTAGAACATTAATTACCTTAGAAGATTGTTAAAGAATGCAATGGTATACAATATAGGGAGAACACTTTGTAATATTGCCTGCCATATGCAGGCACTGAATCCGTCACTCTTCATTACTACACAATAGCATCTATCAAAGCATTGGGCTTGTAGTGCATACACTTATAAGTGAATGTTGAAAAACATGTATTTTCTACTTTTACTAGTAACAGAAGAAAGACAATCTGAAGTAAAAGTTTTGGAGACGTGTATCGGCTTTACATGCATTCTCATATACCATGCTGTAACAAATTGTTCACCTCTGAGTCAGAAGTCCAGTTACAATATTAAGGATTTAAGTCGATCCCCTTAAAATTCCTCTTTTTTTAAGATGGTAAAAAAAATCATACTTATTTATTTTTACCAAGAAAAAGATAGGAATCAATTAGACAGTTATCTAATTCAGTCCTAAATGATAAATTACTACAAAAATAGAATTGGCTTATTTGAAACCAATCAGTATGAATTTATTTAGTAATGAAATGCCAACTTGAAGGACCTCTTAGAAAATATCATAATAACAAAAGAAAACAAAACAACTTTTTCCATAACAATGAGGTTTTTCTGCACATAGTTAAGAGACTGGAATTGCTCTTCAATTCCTCTCCAAATCTAGTTTACTCACTTTCGAGAGTTCTCTCACTGACTGCCCCAAGCTAAACACGAGGGAAAATTCTGTCTGCCTCCAGCATCCTACCGAGCTAAGCTGAAGATGTGCACAGCACATGCACTGTGCTCAAACTGTTATTCACAAGTGTGGGGGTGAAACCAAGTTGATCCATAAACACCCAATTTGAGTAGAAATCACTACTGAGTTTTCCCATGCACGTAATTGACTTTCTTTCTAAAGGTTGCACATGTCTATTGATAGGACAGCCTATTGTAATTTTAGATAACTCCAATCTTTAGAAAGTATTTTCCTCTATGTAACTGTAAAGTAGCTCCTTATTCTTCTAATTTTGACTACAGAAGAAAAGAGCTAACATTTAATTCATTATTAATGTACAAAATTTATGAATGAATGAATATTTGCATTCCATTGTCGTTAGGAGGAAAAATCAAGGCTGTCACACCGACAATGAGAAAGAAAGCAAACCCAGGGAACACGATGACTTGGAGCAGATTTGCTCGGTATTGTTCAGCTTGGCAGGAATGCGTGTATCAGGAGAAAGCAGTCGTATTCCAGTTAAGAGAAATCTGGTAAATGCATGTTCTTCTGTAATTGTTTTTCCCCTATAACCTGTGCAGTGAAAGGTATCAGCTCACATGGTAGACAACTCAGTGTAGCAATAGAAAAGAAATTATAATAATTTATTTTAATTTGCATATTCACAATAACTCACATGCACAATATTAAATGCACCACATGAACTGCATGGTAAGGTCTGTGTGATTACAACACTAAGCTTTATCCTGTAAGCTCAGCTTTTCGCAGCTGGAATAATGAGATCAGGGGCTACCTATTTAATGACCCTAGTTAAAGCATAATTGCTTGTCTATCTTACCTGGCTTTATTTTGAACCAGAAAAATTCTATCTCTAACATTTTTCTAGTTCTGCTACTGAGATATCCTCTACCCAGATTATTTCTAGTACAACAGTACAACTTTGCTATTGTGATATCCTGGGGCTTAATAACAGGACCTCCCCTTCTAAAGAAACAGACCTGTCTTTTCCTCACTAAGGTAATTTCTGTGACTTCCACTGTGTATCCTCTTTAAGCCATGGGCATGCCTTGATTATTTTCACTATATACTCTGCTTTTTGATCAATTTTGTATAATATACCATAAAATATAAACCCTCAGCAGGAAATCGAACACAGTTTTCACCTGGATTAAAAATTGTCATCTAAACTTTCCAAACGTAAATGATAATCCCTAAACACATGAAGAGAAGATAAGAAAAAACAAAACAAAACATGTCACCTCTGTCTCTAGGAATCTCCTCAAGGCTCTTTTCTTTTTGATGCTCTTCCTTCTCACATAAACTGCAAATGTTAGGCCCACGATGACCAGGATAAAGAGCCCTCCAATGACTCCGGCTGCAATTAGAGGGGTTCTGCCAAACAAAATAGAAAAGAAAAAAAAGTATGAAGAGAGAAAAGACAGAGGAAAGGAAAAAGCAGTTGTACCTATCCACGTATCACAAATCTACTCACATGTGGTGTAAATAAAAGTGCTTTAGAGCTGTGACGGAACTTTTATGGTAAAAGCAGTACTTTTTTTTTTAAATAAACCATGCACATACAACTATTCTTGGAAGATGAGCAGCCACAACATGCCATTTCACCAAAAAAATGTAAAACTTGGTAACAATGAAAAACTCATGCAAAAATGTTAATATAGGAGGATTTTAAATTGTTTTAATGTTGCTTTCATCTATCAGTGAATGGAAAATACATTTTAATAATATCATTGCATTATATAATATTATTTTCAAAATTTTCTCTAAAACAGGCTTTCTCAACAGTGGCACTATTGGCATTTTGGGCTTGATCTTTTTTGTTTTGGGGGACTGGTATCTGTGTTTTACGATTTGTTAGCAGCATCCATGACCTCCCTCCACCAGATGACAGTAGCATTTCTGTCCTCCAGTCATGACAATGTCCCGAGATAGTGCCAAATGTCTATCAAAATCACCCACAGTCAAGAACCACTGTTTTTAAGCCAAAATGAGAGTTCTAAAGACACACTGAGCCCCACTCCTCCAGAATATGAGGGTTCAATAAGAAGGATGGATTGACAGACATGCTATTTCAAACTCCGGCAAGGACAACTTTGACAGCAGGAGAAAGAGAAAAAGTGGGGTCAGACAGAATTACAATGACAGGAGGACACATTATTATCAGAAGTGTGCCTAAGCATCATGAGCCTGTGAAAGAGGTTTACAAATTAGGTATTACATTAAAAGGTGTTCATAGTATTAAAAAGAGACTGAACAGAGATTTTTGTTCTTAACATTGTTAGCTAAGACAGTCTTGGGACTGATAATTTCTATTGCTTTTTAAGATAAAAATTTTCCTTCCTCTAAAAGTCATAGTTGTGGTTGTAACTGCGTATTGTAGAGTACATCAGTATCTGTGAGCTTCCTCTGGTCAAAGCCCTGAAATACACTAATTTCATATGCTCTAGAAATAACCTGGAGTAGAACTCACAGGTGTTACCTAATATATATTTGACCATGAAGCCATGATATGCATCAAAACCAGAAAAGAATTCCCTGAACACTTACACTCTCCATAGTAAATATTTTATATCTTACATTTCTATTTGTAGAAGAATCTACTCTCTACAGCTGCATTCTTTTAGAAAAACATGTCTTGCTCTTGCAAAATAAACTTTGTTTAAAGATAGATCAGAAATAATGATAGCAGATGATCCTAAATAAAAACTTTTAAATTTTAAAGAGTTCTATAAAAATATCTGTGTAATGTCTTCTATATGTGAAGACATATGTTTTAAAGATTATGATTTTTTTATATTGTCATATAAAACTGTAGAAAATCCTTAAAAACTAGTTTATCCTGATGGTTGTTTTCTGACAGTTGAAAGTACCATAGCATACTGAAATGTTTCTATAATTCAACTAGATTTTCCTAAATAAAATTTTCTAAAGATATAAAAAGCTATGCTGAGAAAATTAAACTATGGTATGGATACAAACTCACCATTGTGATGTGTTTTGGTTTGTGTAAGGTCATGTAAGGTCTGTGTACACTGTCTATGTAAGGTCATATTTTTGAGCATGCCAGGTACATATATATTTCAGTAAATATTTTAAGTTTTCAACTCAAGGTATAATTTTTGGCTCAAGTGCCTAGCATACCCCTGAAACACACTACTATGAAAACATTGAATTTTTGTTTCTTAAGCCCAATTTTTAATTTCAAAGTATTTATGTATGATTGAGAATAATGTCCAACATTTATTAATTTTAGATTTTAACTAAACTCTGGACTTACTCTTCTTATTTTCCAAAATAAGTGGTATGTATTTATAAAGATACATGCCATTATCACTGTAGATTTTAAGAAAATGCTCTTTTTGGTTTTTGTTTCTTTTATTTTTCATTTTAAGAAAGACCACTAACAATGGAACAAAATAAGACCTGTGTGTCTCTATTCTTTTCATCTAATTCTGCTGAATATCAATTTCCATGTCATTACTACTCAGCTTTGTCATGGCAATAAAAAATAAAAAAGTTCAAAATCTCAATAGAGAGTCACTGCTATATTTTTTCTCCTTAGCATTTATTTTTTATTTTCTCACAGCAGTTCCTTGGTTGATTTACATTTCTTTACCCTTTTTATCCCTTACTACTCTACAGAAATAGAAGAAGTAGAAATAACCTGAAGAAGGAAAAAGTGATTTTCTGCATTTGAAGTTCACACATGAGTATTTTGTCAGACACTTTGAAAGGCCAAATTTTTTATGTTCAGCAGAATTAACTCTTGAAATAAAAACAAAACATTAACCACAAGGAAGCAACCTGTGAAATCAAGAGGGGGGCACTCTATAAAGCAACTTGACTGTTCTCTTTAAGGAGTGAATATTATATCATGGAAAAGGTGTCGATCTTGACTAAGAAGATTTAATGGTTTTAAAAATACAGATGTGAAATGCAGTTCTGGATTGGATTCTAGTTTGTGCAGACTAGCTGTACAGATGTTTTTGAGATAACTTAGAAATTTGAACAGGAATTAGGTAGTAGATGAGATGAAAATTTACTGTCATGGAAATACGTGGACCCAAAATTGGAAAGATTAGATTACAAACAGTAGGATCTCAATTAGGGAAAAGGTGAGTGTGTGTCTGTGCAGGTGATGTGTGCACATGCACGTGTGTGTGCATAAATGATCTAGGGTAATATACAATGAAACACTAAACAGTAGTTATCTCTGAATAGTAAGACTATGATGTTTTATTTTTATAGTTTTACTCATCAACATTTTCTAATTTTCTGCATTTATTTCTTTTTCAAAATAAGAGTTTATTACATTTACAAAAAACAAAAAAAATCAATCATTGCCTGAAAGTTTATCTTAATAATAACAGCCTTGCTTTCTTTTCCTTCTTGAATGTTTACTTGGTTCTTTTCAATTGAGTTTTTATTTTAATATTTCCTGTCCACTTTTATAATCTAAGTACTTTTGCATATATAGTCTATTCTACTAGTTTAATGTGCCTGAGACATTTAATTACCACTGTGTCATAACATTAACATCATGTTTCACAAAACCAAGCTAATCTGAAAACTTAATACTACTTACACATCTCCTAGTTCCCCCAATTTTGATGACTTCTAGATATTGGTAGACATAAAGTATGATAGATGTTCATTTTTCCCCTGGGAATCAATACTTCACTCTTTGTGAGAACCCTTTGGATAAAGAGAGTACAACTACTTAAGCTGCTTCTTTAAAATGCTATGTATCCCCACTAATCTCATGCTGGCTGCTGTGAGAAACTGTTTGTTTGTTGTCATTGTCCTGCCCATGAAAAGTGGGTGGAATCCCTAAAGTATAAAAGACAGGACACTTCCAGTATCAAGTCCAAGTTTCGACTAAAAGAATAAAGTTAATTGATTGTTGACTTTTCTCTGTGATTTGAAAATAATTTAATGAAACAGATATCCTCCTGTTACTGATTAAGGGATTAAGCAAAAAACAAAACAAAACAAAACCAAATAAACAACAACAAAAAAACCCCTCATAGACAGACAACACTATGGTGATAACCAGAGAGAACAGGGGGCGGGGGCAGCAGAGGAATAAATGGTGATGGAATGAGACTTGACTTGAGGTGGTGAATGTAAAACACAATATACAGATGATGTATTATAAAACAAAGAATTATAAAACACAAAAAAGTGTAAGTAGAAAAATGAAACTGATATCCTCCCACTACTCATAGAAACCCATATAAGAATTCTGAATCACAAGTGACCTTGGATAATTTATTTGAAAGCATAGAATTTGATTTTCATAACCTCATTTAGAAGTTCAGAGACCTCACAATGTTTTACATTCTATTGCTAAAACAGTTACACATAAGAGTTATGTCTCCCAAAACTATATTATTCATATAATAATATTCTTATCATTCACTACTGTATTTGAGCTGTGCTAATCCTGAAGAATATATAATGTGAGAGAAAATATGAAACTTGATTTTAGAAACAGCCAAATATAGTCCTTCATTGATCTGCTTCCTTCTAGATATCACATCGCAAACAAAATGTAGTAAAGTCAATATAATTTATGATTACAACTCAGATTGTTCTAAAACTATTCTATTATACCATTTTCCACTTAATGCCAAGGGTAGACTATCTTACAAAACTGTACAGTGGAATTTTCCTTAAAATTGTAAATTTGGTGAAAGTGATATTCTGAATAATATAGTCATTGCAAAGAATGCTAAGTCTGTGAGAATCTTTCATAGGTACATCACCAAATAAAATAATTTTAAATTAATAATATAGGTATATCATTTTTAATTTCTTAAATACATAATAATTTTTAATTAAAGATAAAGGAAATAATTTGAAGTCTTATAACACATTGATGGTATAATTTAAACCAGAGAGCTTCACTATTAGAAGCTTGTAAATTAAACTAAACAATATGAAGATGTTTCTTCAGGATTCATTGATCCAGACTTCCAGCTGCTTCACTGTTTATCGATGGGCACTAAAGTCTTAACTGAATTGTTATTTTAAATTTACACAGAAGATAACAAACAAAAACAACAGGCTAGTCTGATAACTTTAACAAAGTTTGTGTATCATAAACTTTTCAAGTCATAGAAGGTGGTAAAATAGTACTTCTAACATTAAAATTTTGTGTTTAACTTTGATATCTATTTTTTCCCCGTTACAGTGGCATATGGTACTACAAGATTCTTTGGAGCCAGACCAATCTGAATTTTAACTATTGGTCTGCTTCTAAGTAGTTATTGGCCCCTCTGTTAAATAACTCAGCCTAAATACCCATGAATATATATTCTTTACCTAAGGTAATAAAAAATCAACACAGCTGGGAACTACCTAGTCTTTCT